CTGGACACGGCGGCCGCATGCACTTCACCACCGGGCATGGCTTGAGCTTTTTGTGGCTGTGGTTATAACTATTTCTAAGCGTACTTCTGCAGCGAGCAAGCCCAAATGATCAATGAAAAGAGCAAGCAAATCACATTTCCATTGGGCGAATCAAACGCCGCGTCCTCTCTACTCCTCTCGGCGCTACTGCACTAGTAATACTAGTGCCAATGTATTGTTTGCCCTTACCGTACCCCTTAGGCCGCCATGCATGGTGATTGAACATGAGACGAGTGAAGATGGCAACGGGCATTGTTCAGGGGGGAAGAAGGAAGAGCACGGTTGATGCCCGAAACAGCAATCACTGACGTACTAGGTAATTTGTACATGACTCAGTCATACTACATTTATTAATTATCATCAGTCTAGTCTAAACGTATTGAAAACATGTTTGCCACTGATTACATCACTATTACACTATTAATTGATAATGTTGTCATTGTCAATTTCTATTTTTATATAACCTACGAGCGAGTATAGATATTCCATATGCTCGGCTGCACCTACAGTTGTGGCTGCAACGGCTAGTGCATCCGAGCGGAGCCATTTTATTAGTGTGTAGAAATTGTCTGGCGAGTTTGGATATGGAATGACGCTACTCGACTCGACGTGTATATACAGAGACTCTTAATCAACACGTGGGTGTCAGGTATCAATGTGTGTCTTATCTGCTTCTCTTTCACTTTTTCACCAGGCTGCCCCCGCGTCAGTGGCCTCGCCAGCGTCCTCACTCCGCCACCGTCACAATGTCCTCCTCCTACTCCGCGACCACGCCACCGCCCCACCTCCTACCACCGCAGCCACTGCCTCAATCGCCACCCTAGGAACCATTGGCCCCGCCGACGCCCTGATCGTCCACCTCCCACCGCCACTACTGCACAACCTATCCCTTCTCCAATGCTCGTCTTAACTTCTTCCTTCTTCTCTTCTCCCTTGTCACCGTACTGCTCTGCCGCTGCCTCCTTCATTGCTCGTCTTAGTCGCCGGCGATCTCACCGTCCACCTACCACCATTGCCGTCCATCTCCACTGTCCTTCTCTAACCTTACACTGGTTTTCCTCCACCGCGCCTTGCCTCGCTAGCCATGAACTGCCACCGTCGTCGAGCCAGAGTTCCAAACATCACCCGTGTAATCCCTCTAAAGCCATAGGATATATATACTAGAGCCTAAATCCAAACCGTAACCTCTACCCCTCCCCTCCTGCCGCTCTCTCCATTCGACGAAGACACGAGTCCCTCTATGTGTTTCTAGGACACGCGCACCCTGCGACTGAGAGCAGCACCAACGCAGGCATACAAGATCAGCCTCATGAAAAAGTACTGATCCACGTAGGAACAGATAGACCAAGACCAACACCGCCCAACACAGGGCACATCGCACACATGCCTCCTTATACCCACCACTCCCTGCTGCCCCCTTCACTTCCCCTACATGTACGCGCGTGTTCGTAGAGGATCCTTGGTCCCACCACTCCCTGCTGCCCCCTTCACTTCCCCTACATGTACTTGCGTGTTCGTAGAGAAATCACGGCTCCGATGGTGGCTTCACTGATTTATCAGGCAAGGCGTTGGTTGCTCCTGCAAGCTGCTCCACCTTTCCCCGTCTCCAATCAGTCAGTCCGAAAATAGCCGGAACCCGCGACAAGAGCGTAACGAGCCTTTCCGCTCCCATAAGCAAGTATGTGCTCATGATAATATGTCTGTGACCTTACTACCATCCATAACAACGGACGATACTCAATCGACATAGGCAGAACAAGTACAATCCGAGCCTCGCTCGAATGCTTAACCAAGTCCAGATCCAAAGTAACATTCTGCCCAATCTCCGATTATCATTCATATATATTCCATGTGACAGTAATCTAATAACAACAATAATATTTTTCCTATCTCTCGCGAGTGACAGGTAATCACTCGACTTCTACCGGATCCTATAGCATAGCAATCTACATGATCCTACATACTAGTAGGACTCATAGGATAATATATATATATATATATGGTTTTCATTCAACTCCTTAAAACTTAATACACAAGCATAAAATAAAGTATAGAATAATAGGGATTATGCACCGGGGCTTGCTTGGGTAAGATATAATCAAAAGTTAGCATTCCATTGGTGACACGGTCATCCAGGCACCATCTTTCCGCTACTTCTGTCGATTTCATGATCCATCATTGTTCCTATTATAATATACGTGGATGCAACGCAGAGACGTAAATAATCAACAACAAGTGCAACTCTAAAATACGATTACGCTCCGCAAGCTAACGAGCTAGCTCTAACGACTAGCGTACTAGGCAATGTATCTACGTCGTCAAGTAAGGCTTCGCCTCCAGAAAAATGTTTTAGTTCTAAAATTCCAAGGTGTCTCGGCATTTTATTGATTAAACATATATTTTCAAACTATGGCTCATTTAGCTACCTTAGCAAACTAATTATTATGGAGCTACAAAAATTACAGTGAGCACCTAATAATGTGAGAAATTTACTGTGAAAGTTTAAGAGCCAACACTATCACCAATTTATCATAAAAAATCCTACAAGTTTATATCTTACAATATTAAGCATCTCAAATTAATTAGATAACTCCCGAAAATATTATAAAATTATGTGAACAAAATATACTAGAAGATAGATCATGATTTTAGGAATCTAACAAAATTGGTTTCACAATTTTCGGTTAACTACACAATTTTATATTGAATTTATAAGTTTACCTTAAAAACTAAATTAGAAAATGATTAGAAAAGAAAAAAGACTGGTGGCCACCATTCGGCCTAGCAGCCCGGCGGCCCAGCGCGGAGCACAGCCCACGCGCAAGACGGCTCACGGAGGGGAGCCCACGCTGGCACTTTAGCAAATGAGTGTCTCGTGGTGTGTGCCTGTGACCGTGGGTGGGCCCCGCTGGACTGTTGCCCTGCTCACGTTAGGACATTTTGGGCGTGTTTATTTCCCTGCACAAGGGTGGCCCGTTCATGTGAGATGGACCTAGTTAGATGGAGACAGGCTCAGTAAGTTCAATCTTCCTTGTTTGTTTACCTGGATAGGGTGTTGGCTGGCCATGTATTGTTTGTTTGCCTGCACTATAGGTGGGCCCTAGCCTTTTTACTCTCAGGAGCTCTCTCACATAGCCCAAGGCTGAAGCATGCAAGCCAGACTCCAGAAAAATAGGGCCTATTTGAAATCTTGGCTCAGCCTTTGGGCCATGCCCAATGAATGCAGTTGCGCCTGTTTGTTTTCCTGAGGACCACGAGAGCCTGGCCAGCGCGGATATTAAAGCACCCATGGGCTAGCCCAGGGGGAAACGAAAACGACTCTCGTTCCTCGTGGGCCATATTTAGGACTTTTATAATTTTTCATATTAGATCTAAATTAGATAAATAGTATCTATTTTAATGATCTTAACGTACTTTTCGCAATGATGCAGTCCATTTTCAAAATTTGAGATTGTTTTTAACAATGAATATTTGAATTAGTATTTAAGTCCTTTTGCAATAAATTGTAAGTGCTCCATATATTATATATCTTTTAAAACAACTCTAGAGTACCAAAACTTATGAAACTTATTAAATTAAGACATATATTGCAATGTTGCATTATGAAATGTTGTCGTTTTATTATTTGGCGATCATATCATCTGTGTATGATCAATTGCATGTTGCTAATTATATGTTGTATGCCATTATATTGCACCGCTTTGAAGTATTTGTAAGCGGTTTAATTCATCCGATCCAAAACTATCGAACCAGCGGTTTAAGTCTGAACGGTTGGACCAGTAAACCAATGAACCGATAGTCTTGTTGGTTTGCTGGCCGATCTGGTCCTAATAATTATGATTAAAATTAGATAGAGGTTTTGTTAATTGTTTTAACTGACCTGATAGCCCTCCCTTTCTATCATGTTGACCTTTTTTTTTTTTTTTTGGGGGGCTCGGTGCGGACTGACCCTACATGGCCATCTGATGGATGGGCAACGTACCTATGGTAGTCAGAGGAGCCATACTACGTGGATGGCCCGATTTTTCCCTAATTTTTTGCAGCTAATATGATTAGCTCTAGTGCAAACAAGTCCTAAGGCTTTGATTGATAATTACTTTTTTTTGGGTGGGTCGATTGATAATTACTTTAGGTACGTAACTTGCGTATCAGATTCAACGGCTGATAAAAGAAACGAATTTTTTCACCTCAAACAAAACAGCAAAGCTCAGCTGTAGTTCTAGCCCAAATACAGCCCAGCTCAAAGTTATATGTGGAACAGATAAATAACTGAGAGTTTTACTAAGTATATTCATAGCAGAACTAAATGAGCATTTTAATAAGTATTTTCAATAGTTACATGCTCCAAATACTTGTAGATGCACCGATTTTGTCCTTCAGTTGATTACTAAGACAATCAAGTGCATTATCTCCCAACAGGAAACACTCTGTTGAACTTGCAGCTTGATATGCCAAGTTCAGAATTTTTTCTGAATTTTGGGGTGTGCTTGTGCCTTTGAATCTTTTTCTGAATTTTGACTACAACACCAGCACCTGCCTCCACCGACGAGAGAGGAGCCACACCAATAACACGAAGCAGACCGAAGCTGAAGCAGGCAGCGTCGCGGTCCCGCGAGCGTAGCTGGACAGGCGGCGTCGCGGACGCGGGCGGAGCTGGGTAGGCGGCGGCTAAGACAAGGCCGGAGCTGGGGCGGCGACGGCGCGGATGCGAGCAAAGTTGGGCAGGCTTGCTGGTCGTTCCAGATTCTGGTTTGATTCTTCATCTGATTGAGGACTGCGACTTTGTCTCGTAATTCTTCTCCGATATTCCTTTTTTTTTTTTTTAAAAATCTTCTCTGATATTTCCCCCCCATGGCAAGGGTTTTCGGTTGATCTGATCGGATCGATCTGCCGTTGTCGATTGCAAAGGAAACGGTAGATTTTGCCGCAGGCGTTCGGCGTTCCCCGAACGCTGTCCGCACATGAGTCCGTGCAGCAAGCTCCGCCGCCTGACGTGCGGCGATGACGACGCCGGCGACGGCAAGATGTTCCCGAACTGGGCGTCGCTGCACCAGGATCTGGTGGAACTCATCGGGTGCCGGGTACTTGCCGGCGACCTGCACGACTACGTCCCGTTCCGTGCCGTCTGCTCGCACTGGAGCGCGAGCACCGCCCGCCCCCGCGGCCGCGGCGTCCTGGACCCGCGTTTCCACCCGCGGCGATGGATGATGCTGCCGGAGGGCCACGGCCTCCACCCGGGCCACCCCGACCTCCGCGGCTTCGTGCGCTTCTTCAACCTCGACACCGGCGCCTTCGCCCGCGCCCACCTCCCGCTGCTGGCCGACCACGTCGTCGTCGACGTGGTCGACGGACTCCTCGTGCTCCACCGCAACGACGACACCGCCATCCGCCTCCTCCACCCCTTCAGCGGCGACGTCGCCGAGTTCCTGCCGCTTGCGTCGCTCCTGCCACAGATGGAGCCACAGCCAAGCTACTACAGCGAGCGAACCAAGCGCAGCATGCTCATGAGAGTTCGCGCCTCCGTTACCGTCACCTCCTCCGGGGCCATCACCCCTCGTGCTGGCCCTTGACCTCCTGCATCGCGTAGCCTACGCCACCGCCGGTGACCAACGCTGGACTCTCTCTGCCTGGAAGCTCAGGCTTTTTCTCAAACTCGTATCTTTCCAAGGCAAACTCTACGCATATCAGCTATCATCCTTTGACATTGGTAAGGTATACATCTACCAGTTGGACCCGCCATGCGCAGACGCCGGCGACGGACAGCCCCGTCTGCCATTGCCAGTGAAGATTGCCGAATGCCCAAAGGACAAATTGTGTTTCATCCTCCACTTTGTAGAATGTTGTTCAGAGCTCTTGCTGGTTTCTTACAACGATGTTTCCTTTTCGAAGCTGCTGGTCTACAGAGTTGCTGACCTTGTCAGTGGAAAGATTGAGCCAGTAACGGACATCGGAGACCACACCTTGTTCATCGGCGATCGTTCTCTCTGTGTCTCACTCTCACCTAACAAGGGGAGTAGGACTAGTGGCTTTCCTTCCATGTCGCCGAACTCTATCATATGCATGCATAATTTGACTGATCCTTATTCTGAAATGTTCTATCGTTTTGAGCAATATGATCTAAGTACTGGCATCTGGACTCCAGCCAGCGACGGAGACGTTTTCCGAAGACCACCACCGAGCCCCCATAGACTAATCCATCATATCTTTACTTCCTGTCATTACGATTATTGGTAAGTCCAGCCCTTGACACTCTGTCTGCTTTTTTTTTTAGCTTCTGCAGATTACTTTGACAAGTTGACGAGTGTGAATCCTTGTCTCTGCCTGCAGGAATAAAGGGTCGATGTATTGCTGTGGAAGTGAAACACAGGCAACATAGCTGGTGAAGCGAGGCGAGATCTACGGTATGCGGAAAGTTTCTGTTCCTGTCAATTTCCCCTCTCATATATTCAATTGTCTTTTGCTTGTTATTACGATATTCAGGCATAGCACAGTTTGGTGCTGTTTGGTTCTAAACTCAGTTAATATTAATACTAGCTAATGCCGTTAGGCATTGTTTGGTTTGGATGAACAAAATTTGTGATGTTTTGATGCTAATATTTGCTAAGATGTCAAAGCAGTGTATTAGAAGCTTTGGCTGTTCTATTACATTTCAGAGTTACTAAGTTTGGTTTATGTTTCAGGTTTATGCTGGTATATTCATATGTCAGTTACAATCTGGCATTATGTTTATAGTTTATTTTATTGAGGAATTTAGAGACATACTTCTGTACTTAGCTTTGTTATTTGCCAGATGTATAACTATTGTGCACTTTAAACATAAAAACTATAAAGGTAAAGTCGAGTATACAATATCTGTAAGATCTCGTCAGTTGTACAATATCCTTTTTACTAATGATATAATTAACTGTTGTGGAAGATTTTGAGTAATTGAACTATTCATATCAAAATACATTTATTTTGTTTAAACATGTGTTTTTCTTCCATTTTTTAACATATATATTGGTTTTGTTTGTATATTGTCTGTTGCTAACATTCATTTCATCCCTGTTTCTAGGCTTGATGGTCTCTTGTTACTGCTGATTTTCTGAGGCCTTTGCTTCAGAATGTCTAGCTAGAGGAGGAGCAAATAAATCGTGCATTTTCTGTTGAGGTCGTTGGCTCAATGGTTATTGCAACCTCTGTCGCTCTATTTAGGTAGATGTGTAGAGTGATGTTAGTGTTTTTTGAGTTGCCAGCAGCACAAGTGTTTCCTTTAAAGTGGTTGTGTATCGTGACATTTGGATTACTGAATAAAGTTATCAAATTTGCCTGTTGCTGGCTAGATTATGCAAGAATATATATTGGTTAGTATCTATTATCTATATTATGAACTGGCAGAAGCCCTATTGGGCTAGATCCATTTAGATGTGCATATCCATATATGTATGCATCACTGCACCACTGGTTGTTAGTTCCTTCCCCTGTGCTGCATCACTGCATCGTCCCGTCCCAGTTGATCCCTCGCCTCCCCTGATTTCACATCTGTTGCAGTGGCATCTCGTCCCAGTTGCTCCCTCCCCCACAAATCTTTTTTTTGAAGAGTCTGGAGGGGACAGGCCCCTACAGTTGAGCTTTATTGAAAACAAAGAAGTGTATGTACAGACCAAAACCAAAGAAAAGACAGGAGCTAGAACTAAAGAATTAAGACACAAACAAAGAAAGGAAGAAGATGCTATCCTTTAAGATTACAACCAGTTTTGGATCCATAGATTAAATTGTTCTGAGCAGCTCTCCTTGACTCTTAACGACGTTAGAGCCATTTCCTTGTTGAAAGCATTTTTACTGTCTTGTATATTTGGCCCAATTCCTTTGAAGATCTGATTATTTCGAGCTCCCCAGATAGTCTTTTGCCTTTCTAACAGAGATTGTTTTGTTCCTTGCAAAAGAGAAAAGCTCAGGAGACTTCTGTTTGACAGGTATGCCTGACCAGATGTCATCCCATAACTGACAGATCTTTGTAATCTCTTAAAATTTTCAGATTGCCCCTCCCCCACAAATCTTCACCCCCATCTCTCGAGATCCATGCTCATGGCGGCGAGGAAAAGGCCGGCCGTGCGTGATTGACCTAGTGAGTTTCAGTTCTGAAGCCTGCCACGGCAGGAACTGAGGGAGGTCAGAGACAAGCACATGCTGACAAGCACATGCCATAAAGTAATCTTCTGAGATATCGGCAAGTTTCACGATATCAGACACATCTTGCAGACAAACGATAAATAACTGCATGTGATAAAACACCGACTTTCGATCACTGACCACTCGCACTTCATGCTGTTCCTGACAAAGTCACCAGATTCAGGAGCCGTTAACTGTTAACACGATTCAATTTTTGAGCGCCATCATCCTACCGCTCAACATCGACTTTCGATCACTGATCACTTGCACTTCATGCTGTTAACTGTTCAGTATTTTCAGTAGCCAATCAGTTGCTGCAATTAGCAACTGATCAGTATTTTCAGTAGCCAATCAGTAGCATGCTGTTAACTGTTAACCGATTCAATTTTCGAACACCATCATCCTGCCGCTCAGTATAGTGTATCAAACATGAGTACATGACAATGTCAAATTCCACTCAATAGCTGTAGGTGATGGAAGTATGACCGGCAAGTATATGAAATATTTTCTGCATACATGCATCGAATCAGGAGTATCAACAACGAGTAATCATAGAAGCATATGATGCAAACACTCAACAGCTCAATCCTAACACAAATGCCTACCATATGTCCAAAAGAATGAATCCAGAAAAACCCATATATAAATTAAACACGGGGGAGCTAAGCTGAACCCCGTGCTCCGACATGGTCAGGAACTCGCCGATTCTCAGCACAACAGCATCAGAGCACCTGAGATAGCAAGCGCCAAGTAATGGGCAACGCCGGCACCGACTTGGTATGATGAACTCTTCTCTGCCGCCTTCGCCTTTGCGCTCGCTGATTTCCCTGACGTTGGGCTGGGAGTGACATCAGAGGCCTTGGCGTCTGGGGCAGGAGCAGGGGCAGGTGCCAGCGGGGGGTCGCTCTTGAAGATTTGCATTGGCAGGAGAACCTTGTTGACCTCATACACTGCAACCGGGCGGGTCGAGTACACGCTGCTGCTGATCTTGGGGTTGGACCACATCGACTTCACTTGGATGGTGCCCATGTTGTAGGTGAGGTTCAGCGTGTACTGCGAGCCGGCGAAGGTGGTCACCGGGTTGAGGGTGCTCAGCTTGTCGAACTCAGCCAGGGAGTAGTACTTGGGGAACGCGTGGTACAGGAGCAGGGACTTGAGCTGGTCCTGGGTGAGGTTGGCAAATGTTGTCTTCTTGAGCGCAGCGAACGCAGAGTCCTTGGGCACAAAGATGGTGATGCCGTTCTTTGTGTCGTTCGCCTGGTTCTGGAAGGTCTCAATGACATTGGTCTTCTGCAGGTAGTCCAGGAAGGTGTGGAACGGGCCGGCCACACTGAGGAGATCAGCGAGGTCCACATGGTGCGGCGCAGGTGCGGGTGCCGGCGCTGGTGGAAGGATTGTGGCTGATGGAGCAGGAGGACTCTTGGGCTTCTGAGCAACTGCCGGTGAGGAGAGCACAATGGCTAGCACGGCCACGGTAAAAATGCCGGTTTTGAACTCCATCATAGAATCTGATTGCCTTCACTTGAATGGATCAATTCCCTGTGGTCACAAAAGAACGATGCAGCATTAGCCACTGACTGAATGTCTCATCATACCTTAAAAAAAGGGTGTACCCAGTGCAGAGAGCTCCCGCTCTGTGCGGGGTCTGGGGAAGGGTGTTAGTGGCAAGCCTTACCCTCGCCTGTGCAATGCGAGGAGACCGCGACTCGAACCCGGGACCTTCCGATCACAGGCGGTAAGACTCTACCGCTTGCACCAGGCCCGCCCTTCTGTCTATCATACCTTCTTTTAAAAAAAAATATAAATCTGAAAAACTAATATATTAGGTTTTTGGTTTGCAAATTCTAGGCTGTCAAGCTGCAAACATAAGCAAAAATGTTGGGGCAGAGATAGGCAACAAGTATATACTGAATTCATACAATTGCTATTTGCTAGAAGTTGTTAGTCAGCTATGAGAGATCTAAATTGTGGTTTGGTTCCTACTCTGAAATGGCAGGGTGCTAACTTTTTGTTCTTCAGATTCATAGAATTGCTCTTTGCTAGTAGTTTTCATATATAGGAGGAATATTTAGTTTTGATTTTAAGTAGAGTATTTGGACTTGACAATAACCTCAGCTACCACAGCCTCAAGTTTTAGCTCTAGAAACCAATCGGAGATTGAGAACAAAGCTGCTCCCATCTGAATCTGCAATCTTGGTGTTCAGATCCTTGTGGTACAGATTTGATTTGAAATCAGGAGTGAGCACAAAGAAAATTGGTACACCTTTCCCTATTACCACGAAGGACAAATATAGGTGCCAAGAAAAGAAACACCCATGACCCGATCTGGCCGAATTGACCCGCATTATAGAACTGTCAGATTCCACCTACCAAATCACAAGACGCGACATAATAAACAATAGAGTTTATAACACATGAACCGAACAGCACCGACACCTCTCCTGCAGATCTCAGCGGCACGGGAGAGCAGGAATCTGAAGAAGCAAGTAACCGGCCACGAAACTGAACAACGCAGCAGAACTCTCTGTGAAAATTTTATACTGCTAGACATTTGCGTCAGCTTGAAGGAAACGGAACGCAGAACACCAGGAAGATCTGTTCTTCCTCGGGTCAGGAACCGAGGAGCCAGATCCAAATGCAGCTGCAGCTGCAACTGCACTAGGCCACTAGCACAGCGCAGTGAACCCTAAGCGCCTCTGAACTCCGAAATTGCAGCACATGGAGATGTATGCCAAGAAATGCATTGCGGCATGGATGGAATGTAATTCGACTGCAGAGCAAGAGAGAGAGGCGGGACAACGGGGAGGAGAAGTAGGAGACTGACCTGAGCGGGAGCAGGGAGTGATGAGGCCAGAAGCCGAGCAGGACGGTGGAGGAATGGAGGGGTGGGGTTGAGCGAGGGTGCTATATAAAAGGTGGTGCGTTGTGGGGATGGATGGAGTAAAAGATAACGAGACCATGGGGTGGGGCGGGTGGCAGCTGGTGATGAGGTGAGGAAGAAGAGGCTGGAGGTGGGGCCCACGTGAGGCTCTGCTCTCCCTCTCCTCTGCACACACTGCACGGGGAAGCCAGCCAGGTAGGACTGGAGCTAGCTGCCATTTCTGTCCTATCCTATCCCGAGTGACTGCTGTAAATCCATTTTGCTCATCATTAGTGGCGCGATTAGCGTCCATAAACTGCACCGAGATACGGTTTGTGGTTCCTTGATGATGCCTTGCTAGCTTTGCAAAGCTTGCAAGTAAGCATGTCCCTCCCTGCCTTTCTAAAACCGAGCTGTTGATGTGTGTTTTTTTTCATAGAGTTTGTTTTGGTCCAGCTTGAAAGTACTAGAGAGATGTTCTTTTTTTAAAGAAAAAAGTACTAGAGAGAGAGAGAGAGAGAGAGAGAGAGAGAGAGAGGAGAATTCATTTGAGGAATTTCAGAACGTGATCACTGATCACCTCTGTTTTAGTGCGAATAACAAAAGCGAAAAGGAGCTGGATGGATGTGGTGATCCAAGAAAAGGAACCGAAGAAGCCGAGGGAGAGGTTCATTCATGTGATGTAGTACTGACAAGAGCACTGTTGTGCCCTTTTGGCCTTTTTCTTCTACGAACAGGATTCCTCCAGCTCTCACGGTGTCAATGCGCCCAACACCCCCAACCAATGTGTACAAGAAAAAACACCACAACCAACCAACTCATTGTCAATGCTGGGTTATTGTTATTGTGAGGTTTTCCGCGGGACACAATCAGACAATGTGACAAACATATTAGAGATCTGCAGGTTTTTCCCTGCTCATACTGCTGTGTTCTGTAATGTTACAAGTATTGTTTTGAAACAGCGTGAGAATTTTGTTACTCCCTCTATCCAGGAAAGAATACAATTATGGGATCCGTGCTGTTTAAAGTAGTTAAAGTTTGACAAAAGTTATAGCAAATAATATTAATATTTATGTCTCCAAATAAATTTATTATAAAAATATATTTTATGACAAGTCTAATGATACTAATTTTGTATTAGGAATGTTAGTATCTTACCCGTTATATAATTTTGGTTAAAGTTCAGACTGACTGCGGGAAGCTGAGAATTGCATTGAGGGAGTACTACGGTACGTACATGTGGAAGTCTGAACTGAAGGGAAGCTTCGGTTTCCTGCAGGCACATGTTTGGTGGCCGCAAGTTTTTGCAGTACCGCAGTGGTGTGTGGTGTGGTGTCACCGAGCAAATCATAGGAGCACAAATGCGAAATGTCCTGATAATGTTCACATGTTTCTTGTTCTTGTTTCGCTTTCTTTAGTCCACGTGGCCGCAAGTGCATGTCGGTGTCTGAAACTCTGAAATCCTGAATGCTGCTGCCCCCCCTGAACTTCTGCTTCCGATAATGGCACTAACCGAGACCGACTGCGTGTGTGGCCGATGTGATTACGTGAGGTCGCGGCCAAACGCGATGCGACGACGGCGACAGCCACGGAGACGGGGACGCCTGCGGTGTCGCCGTGTCGGTGCGACGAGACGAGACGGGACGGCGGTTCATTTCATCAGCTCGTATCCGGGCGGGGCGGGCGGCCACTGTCGTTAGTTAAATGGGACACCATCTCAGAATAATTAGTGGCTGTCCTAACAAGGCCGCCCCCCCCTAATCATGAGAGGGGAGCTGTCAGCCTCAAGTGGCTGGGCTCAGTCCCAACTCCCAATTCCCAAGCAGGGCAGAATCATGGATGGGTTGCCAAATGCAAGTACGAGTACTACTACTCGTGGCGCTTTACATCCATGATCAATCATTCCAACGCAGAACCATCAGTGGAGCAGCGAATAAACTTGAGGAGCTCGTCCGTTTTACGACGACTACTACTGCAAAGCAGACACAGGAACGAACATTGCCTGTGCAATGTTTGAGTAGCAAATCGATCCCAGGTCTTGGACTCTGAATATGTGGCCGCCTTGTTGCAGCATGCTTATTGCTGAACTTGCCCAAGCCGCAAATCTGGGTTCAGCTTCAGCCTGCCAGACAGACAGGTCGTTTCTTTGTGCTTGCGCATCGTGCAGTTGAGTTGTTGGCTCTTGCCACATGCCGCATCTAACGCTTCATGCTTCATCACTAAAGATGCCAACGGGCACAGAATGCCCGCATGTCCGCGGGCATGAAACTCGATGGGCAAGGATACGGGCACGGGCGCGGGCACCATCCTGAACCCAGAGGATAGTTCTTCGCGGGCAAAGAAATCTGCTATCATCGTTCGCTTATCCGCCAGACTCGCTCCACAGATCTAACATGTGGGACCTACAAGCAAATATATGTATATATACACGATTTGTTGTGAATATGTATCTTCATATCTCTTGTAATACACTATGGTTTATGTATATGCTCAACCTGGCGGGCACACGGGCATGCCCGCGGATGGAGGGCGCGGGCGTGGTTTGTTGCCCGTGGCGGGTCGCGAGCGCGGGCGCGGGCAAGAGATTTAGCTGATGGGCGCGGGCATAAGAAGGTAGTATCCGCGGGCATCACGCCCGCTGCCATCTTTATTCATCACTGCTTCGTGTTCGCTTCAGTATGAAGAAAACAAAGTGGAGTACTGTAAAGTGAAGCGACAACTGCGTTTACTGTTCCGTATTAGGCCTTGTTTGATACATGCATGGAGTATTAAATATAGACTGAAAAATAACTAAATGCACAGATTGTGACTACTTAGTCCATGATCTGACAATAAAGTGCTACAGTAACACATGTGCTAATGATAGATTAATTAGGCTTAATAAATTCGTCTAGCAACCTGTAATTTGTTTTTTTATTAATATCCGAACACCCCATACAACACCCCATGTGACACCCGATATGATACCTCAAAACTTTATACCATGAAACTAACACAAGGCCTTAATCACACACGGCAGGTGGCAGCAGCACTCACCCCTTTTTTATTTTTTTTGGCAAGCCCTCTCGAAAGTGAACAGAATATATTACTATATAATACCTCTGTCCTAAAAATATATAATTTTAGCACAGTGTCACGTTTTAGTAACATAAGTTTGATCGATTATAGATAAAAAAGTATCCATATTTTTTATATCAGATAAATACTATCAAATTAATTACAAAATATATTTTTATAATAAATTAATTTAAAGACATAACTGAGAATTATTTTTCGTGGCAGGTAATGATAGTTACATTTTTTTTTTTGCAGGACGGAGGTAGTACGATGATCTCGACTTGCTGGTCTAGTGGTCTTCGACTACTACGATGGACCACTCGGAGAGCAGAGCATAGAGCATAGCAGAGCGGAGACCTAGGTTTTTGGGCCACGGGTCGTGGCTCTTGTGCATTTGTGCTGTTGACCAACCAAACCAAGGTTTTAGAAGGAGAAGACAAAAAAAAAACAGTACTATGCTTTTTTTTAAGGACTAGTAGCACTATGCAGCCCAGGAGGAGCAGGTTGGTTCACCACTTGCTCCGCATGCAGCGCCCGCTGTAAACCGCACCTTTTTTTTTTTCTTCTTTTCATTCCCCCCCCCCCC